GAGCTGACGATCGCACGGATGCGCTTCCAGTCGTCGTTTTTGGACAAAAACATAACTCTAGTGAACACCTTATGTCGGGTTCCGAAGTCTCGTCGGTTTCGCATCGAATGAAAGTCTTTCACCAGAACTTGTTTTATGAGCGCCGGCTCTGAGACCATCAGTTCTGGCTTTTCACCCGCGAAGACACTGAAATCAATTCATTTATTGCATGTGTTTAATGAATGTAATTTTGTTAAATGATTACCCATAGAGTTTGCCGTAAGTGTTATACCAGTCTAACTCCAAATGCGGCAAATCTTTGAAGAAAAAGCTCAAAAAGTTGCCAAATATTGGTATTGGTTTTGGACCGCAAATATTTCTGTCTTTCCAATAGTTTAAGGCTCTTCTCCACGAACTATATTATAATTAAATTAATTAAAATAATGCATTTTTATTTGTAAACTAATATAAAATAGTTATATTTATAAATAACGTTAAATTAAAGCTTACTAAAAATAATAGATTAGTAGTGTGGCTAATATGGAAGTTAATGCAACCCATTTCTTGGCCAAAAATAATGCTGTTATCCAAAACATAATTAATTTTTATTATTACGACTTGACTTTAGTGTGAATAAAGTGTTTTGTAATTAGTTTACATATTTTATAACTAACAAGGCCCTTTTAAAGAGATATCATTATGCAATTAGTATGTCGTAAATGAATAATTAAATTATTTTGCATATCATTTACTGCCGTAGTTTTGTATATCACAAACAATGATTTGAAATATTTCACAGGATTTAAGTGATAATTTATTTGCAATATGCAAACAATTAATTTTAAAATCACTGCCACGCGGGAGCTGTAAACGTTATGGGCGTATATTATATCTTTCCGGGACTCTCTTATAGAGGGCTATCATTATTTTAATATTACTTTTTAACGACAGTTACACCTAAAATAGTGGTGTCCACCCCCTAGCGGCGTTCAATTTTTAGTAATCTTTTAATTTTTATACAGTGTGTCGGGCCTATACAATATACAATTTAACCAGTAAACTGTATGAAAATAAATTAATTAATGAAATTGAACGCGTTCAGTCCTTGAACACCACTAACCTAAAACAACCATTGTCATTTGGAAATTAATTTGAATTGCATTATAGTTACAATGTTGATTTTATAGTAAAACTATAATGTAAAAATACTACATATTACAGTGTTTCCAGTAATTATTTTGAAATAATAAAAGAAATTTTAAGTAAAAAAATTTACACAATCATTGCTAATGACTGTTAAATATTTAAATAATAATATTTGTTTAATATAAAGAATATGTTAATTAATAATTATATTCGACTTAAGAATTAGCAGAAATATATTTTATAACAAATAAAAATATTTATTCATCATTTACATTTATTGAAACCAGGTAATTGAGAAAAACAACTAGATTTTTATCAAAATTGATTATTATATTAATTTCATTGTGTAATATATTTTATAAATTTTCATACTGACATTGAGTTTTATTATTAACATGCTTGTTTAGTCAATCAAAATAGTTCAACTTACAATATTTAATATATTTTTAAAATACATCAGCTAGTATGTTATTAGCAAAGAATTAAAGTTAAATATATGACACCAAATAGTCACCATAATAGTCTTGAAAAATATGGCAAATATTTACTTAAATTTATAAAATGATAAAATAAACCTACAAATCATTTTAAATTGTTAAAAATCTTTACAACTACAAAAATTAAATAAAACAATATAATATATTATGTCTATTTAAACACTTCAGATAATATATAGGGGTAGTATTTAAATATTGGTATATTTCGCAAATAATATAATTTTAGTAAACATTCGATATAGTGGTCAATATTTTTGAACACTGTAACACTGTTCTAAGAACTTTTAATAACTTAACATGTGCAAAACTTTCATAGACTTGCATAAAAGCTGAAATTCTTGTTTATAAATTGTATTAGATTAGAGTAGATGTATTAGATTCTAAAATCAAATCACTGTTAGACGAAAAATAGTTATCTCATATCATAAAACACTATTGAGAGCGTGAAAGTACCAATATTTGACCAAAAATAGCTAAACAGTGTGCACTATATGGACAAAGCACTGTATGGAGGGTTAGGCTATCTAATGTTAACTGCATTTAATTTGTGCGACAATTGCAAATGTAAAGTGCACTTAAATGAGTAAATTGTCAAAAGCGGGTATTTTCTTCCCCTATAGTAAAAATTTTGTGTACTATTAATGTAATTTTTAATTTATTTTAAAGGCTTTACTTTATGATAGTTTACAATTCACGTTAATTCGTTGCACAATATTTTTGTTGATTATTAATAGATATTAAGTTAACCAGGATTACAATAAGTTAGTGCCTATGTACTAACATTATGCCATATGGCACCAGTCTTATGCTAAATATTGTGAAATAAACTATTGTACTATATAAATATAATGGTTAAGCCCAGGACGTCCCAAAAGTTGAATAAAAGTTAGGCTTTTCCTATATGCTCCCATAGACAATACATTACAGTTTACCCTCACATTACCCTCATTTACCCGCACTGGGAAACGTTGGTTAAGCCCATTGTTTATTGCTAGTTAAATTAATATTTCATAAACAATTTGCTTTCTTAAAAATAAGCTATTTATTACAAATGAAATCAATTGTAATACTGATTGTGTTGTTTGGTTGTAGTTCAGCCCAAAATGGTAATTATTAGCGTTAATTTTCAAATTATATTTATTCAAACATTTATTATAAATCATTAGTTTCAAGATATGTTCGCTTAAATAACGGCATCGACTGTCCGATAGTTGGATTGGGAACGGGTGGTCACAAAGCCGGAGGTCCTCCACAGGGAAAGGTAGTCATCGAAATGGTCCACAACGCTGTCGATGACGGCTACAGACATATCGATACGTCCAGTAATTATCTGAACGAAGAGGCGATCGGGAAAGCACTCAATGAGATCTTTGCGGCGGGAAAAGTGAAACGCGAGGACATGTTTATCACCACAAAGATTACACCGAATGCCACCCAAAGTAGGACTGAAGCGTTGAATGGCGTCCACTTGGCTCTGAAGAAGTTGAACACAACATACGTGGACCTAATGCTTATCCATAGGGCCGCCATTGATCCCAATGTTAACGACGAGGTCTGGAAGGGTTTGGAGGACGCGTTGGCCCAGAAATTAGTCAAATCTATTGGTATTTCTAACTTCGATGTCCAGCAAATTGATAGTCTCCTGAAGAATGCGAAAATAATTCCAGCTATGCTTCAGGTGGAGAGTCATCCGCAGCAAAATCAAAGACAACTCATTGATTATTGTCGTAAATATGACATACATTTGACCGCATACTCGCCATTAGGCGCCGGAACTCTCATAAAGAATCCAACGATTGTCTCAATCGGGAAAAGTCATAACAAATCTGCGGCGACAGTAATGATCAGATGGCAGGTCCAGAGGGGTGTCGTCGCCATTCCTAAAAGTACTAAAAATGCTTATATCATAGAAAATATCGATGTTTTTGACTGGACTTTAACTGACAATGAGATGAAAGTATTAGAAGATATGAAATAATGTAATTATTTTTAATTAAATTAAAATTCAATTATTAATTATGATTATTATTAATATCTTTAAAAACCATATTTATAAGTTTGAAATTTAAAAATTAATTTTAGAAATTAAAATCATTGAATTGAAATCATAAATTATGAGAATATCCAGAATTTCAAATTAAAGAGCTTTTATCATTATATGAGTAAAACAATTTACATAACTATCAATTAATTGCATAGTTTCCGTATACATTATACAGTATTTTGCCCCGGGATGTAAAACGTATTTAATACTACAATAATGTTTTGTAAATGTTTGTCGCATTGATATGTCATTGAAAAAGCTATAAAACTGTTTTAAACTTTATTGCTTTTAACAAAATTAACCATAACATTATCAATTTGGCAAGTAATCAATATAAAATAATTTCTATATGGTCATTGCAACTTTATTTGTAATTTCAAACGAATTGTTGTACATTTTGGATCCATATAAATGTGATCATGGTGGTTATCTACGTTCACGTAAACTATCATTGAAAGCATAAATTCAATTTTATAACAAACATTTGTTTTAAATTACATCAATAGTTATGCATATAAAAGATTAAAAGTCCTAAACTATTGCTCTAATAGTGCTTTTCATACGTTTATCTATTGAATCGGTTTATAAGATCATTGTATGTGAATATTTCAAGTGTTTGTTTGATTAGTTGATCACATTTTGGTATATATTAATCACAAATTATTATTAAATAACTATTTCCAATTTCAACTCAAGCAATGAAATTAATAATTAGTGGCCTATTGTTTGCTTTATTGAGCATTAGTTGGGCTGAAAATGGTATATAAATCAAAATTTACATAAATCTTTAATCCTATCAAATAATTATAACTATAATATTAATTCAATTGACAGAATCGAGAACTATTCGGCTAAATAGCGGATACGACTGCCCTCTGGTAGGCATCGGAACGGGTGGCTTCAGAACCGGAGGTCCGCCGCAGGGAAAAGTGGCCATTCAGTTGATTCACGACGCTATCGACTCCGGGTATAGACATATCGACACCGCATCCGCCTATGGGAACGAGAAGGCCATCGGACAGGCGGTCACTGAAGTGTTGGCCAAAGGAGTGATCAAACGGCAAGAGTTGTTCATTACAACTAAACTAATGCCAAACCCAACCAACACTCGGGAGGAAACGCTAAAATCAGTTCAATTGTCGATACAAAACTTGAACACATCATACGTGGACCTAATGCTCATACATATGCCATCCGATGATGTGGCCGTCAATGACAAAGTGTGGTCAGCTCTGGAGGAAGCCGTCGCTCAGAAATTAATCAGATCTATCGGTGTTTCCAACTTTAATGCTCAACAAATTGATAGTCTGTTAAAGAATGCGAAAGTAGTTCCGGCGATGCTTCAGGTGGAGAGTCATCCGCAGGTCAATCAAAGACAACTCATTAGTTATAGTGATAAACACGGTATACATTTGACCGCATACTCGCCATTAGGCGCCGGAACTCTCATAAAGAATCCAACGATTGTCTCAATCGGCAAAAGTCATAACAAGTCTGCGGCGACAGTAATGATCAGATGGCAGGTCCAGAGGGGTGTCGTCGCCATCCCTAAGAGCCTTAAGTTAAATTATATCAAAGAAAACATCGATGTCTTTGACTGGACTTTAACTGACAATGAGATGAAAGTATTGGAAGATATGAAATGAATGAACTTTATTGCGATATCTCTTTATAACTCTATAAAATTATGATTGTTTGGCAAATAAACAAAAATATTGATATTTAACTTATAGTAATTCAAATAAATCCTATTTATTAGGATTTAATGATTTATTAAAATAAAATCTCTGTTTTTAGTTAAATGTGTTAAAATTAATTATTGCAGACAATTAAAGGTTAATAACACTATTAATGAATATGGTTTGTAATTATATCCTTATGTTAAAAATAAAATCAAATTCAAAAGTATTTATATTTTCCAAAAGTCAGACATCTCTTCCACATCCACACCAAATAGATCTCAATTTTATGTTTAAAAAATGCAATTATTTATTGTATTATCAGTGATACTATCTATTGCTTTGGCTGATGATAATGGTATGCAATGACCAAACATTAACCTAATAATTAAACCCGTGAAATGCTTTCGCGACCATAGCTTCGAAGACATTTCGGCTGAACAATGGAGTTGACTGTCCGGTCATAGGTCTGGGGACGGGTGGCTTCGATGGCGCGCCTCAGGGAGAGCTCGTCAAACAGATGGTGAGGGATGCGATTGATGTGGGCTATCGTCTCATCGACACCGCAGCCTATTATGGCAACGAAGAGGCCATCGGCGACGCCGTCAACAAAGTGGTCACGAGTGGCAAAGTCCGTAGAGATGAGCTGTTCATATCGACCAAGGTGTTTTTGCTTATCGGTCAAAGTATACACATATCTCGGGCCGAAACCGTAGAGAACGTGCGAATAGGGATACAGAAACTGAACCAAACGTATGTCGATATGATTTTGTTTCACTTTCCCTCTGAATCCGATGAAATCAATCGCGAGGTCTGGAGTGGACTCGAAGACGCCCTAAACCAGGGTCTGGTTCGAGCGATTGGTGTTTCCAACTTCAATGTCCAACAATTGGAAAGTCTGATCCAAACGGCGAATGTATTGCCAGCGATGAACCAAATTGAAAGTCACCCCCAATTGAGTCAAAGACAACTTCTGGACTATTGTTCCCGATATAAGATACGAGTGACCGCTTACTCGCCATTAGGCGCCGGAACTCTTATCTCAAATTCCAAACTTATTTCAATTGGAAATAAATACAACAAAACTTCGGCACAAGTGATGATCAGATGGCAAATACAGAGAGGAGTTGTGGCCATTCCTAAGAGCACTAAAGCTAATAGACTTCGAGACAATTTCAATGTCTTTGACTTTAGTCTTACCGATGAAGAGATGAATATTATTGAAAACATGTAATTTTTTGTTTATAACAAAACGCTGTATTTTAACATTAAATTAAAACTATTTTAACAATTAATAACAATTTTATTACAAACTGTGATATGAAGACAAAATTATGCGACAATTAGGACAGAGGTGTTCAATACTTTGCATTCTCTTTACATGACATGGTATTAGACAACAGCCACAGCAACAGCTCATCAGTATATATGGCACTGATGTAAGCCATGTCAAGAGACAAGACATGGGACGTGTTTCGGTGATAATTCGTGAATTACAATAAGAGCATCGGGTTTGCATTGATTTGGAACATGGCCATTTCAAATGTCCCATATATTCATTAATTATCTCTTGTCGTGAATCGTATATTGAGTGGTAATTGTTGTGTCGGGACAGACCGGCCGCACCCAACGCCGAGTCCGCAAATCTTGTATACATTTTAACAATTTATTTCAATCATAATTTATTAAATTGTGATTTGTGTTCATTTTAATCATTGATTATTAATAATACAATTTAATGAAAACAATGCAATTCTTATAAAAACAACTGTCAATACCAGGTGTTGTTCTTCGGAGAATAGCTATGAATCCATCATTTCATATAAACTATTACAATATATGGAGTGATCGTAATTAATATAACAGTATATTTTGTAAATCTAATTAACACATAAATTATAATCATTTTAATTTACATTTTAATAGTAATCTATAATGATAGGTTAATTATTGTAATTGATATTGGATGTAACTTGGTGATTGGTACTCCTTTTTGTTGTAGTAAATTATTTATTGTTTTATAATCATATTTACAATTTGTACATTTATAGTAATTCATATCAAAATAAATTATTGCAATTAATATTTACATATTTAAATTAATATTTATGCAAAATATGTACAATTAATACTAATATTACAGTAATATCTAGTCATCTAATATCATACCAAAGCCATCGATAACTGAGGGAGCTTTTGAATATTTGGTGCCTTTTGGCAAACGTGGTAAATGTTGACACTTATCGGAGTCTTCCTCGTAGTCGGTGCACATCAGGTTCAATGTATTGCCAGCCATTGAAGTGATGTACTTCTCGTAGTTATCCATCGACTTCTCACTACACATACGATTACTGGCCATTCGGGCACAACTCATAACACATGCCTTTAGTTCGTGAAATGCACTGTAAAGACAATCACACAATAAATACAAGATCAAAATAAAATGATCAAATTATTGTAACATACCAACAGGCGTGTGGAACTTTCATCTTGGTCTCAAAGGCGTTTGATTTGCCCAACTCTACCATAAACTCATCCATGCATTTGTTTGACTGGTCTCTGATTTTATTGCCGCAAACGGAGAATGACATCAACTCTTGTTTTTTGGCCGATTTTGTGCAGTAATTCTTGTCGATAGTCTTGACGGTGAAGAGCATCACATTTGCCAACTGTTTGTGCACTTCGTTACCGCAGAGATCGGTGTAATCCTTCACGCATTTGATTAGATTTGCGGTTTGTTTGCAGTGTTTCTCCAATTCGGGCTCATTTTCCGGGTATTTTCTGGATCTGCGGCCAACAAACCACAGCTTATCGGCGCATACGTTGGCTTTTATCCGGTGCTCGTCGTCGCACAACACATCCACTTTCCTCTCTTTGCGCTCCACTGGAGAGCAATTGACTACAACTTTAAAATAAACAACTTTTATAAGTTTTATAAAGTTTTATAAATGATAAAGATAATTTTACTTTTAAAATACATACCAGTGAACAAAATAGCAAACATTGCAGCGTTTAATGTATTCATTTTTTGCAGATATATTTAATCAAAAAAGTTTTAACAAACTTTTAAACAATTGTTAATTAATAATGTTTCTAATAAATAGTTGAAAACAATATTTATTTGTGAAATGTGTTGAAAATGCCTGTAATTTATATACATATTTGTCACGTAACCAAACAAAAGCCTATTCTCTATGGGACACGTAGACCATTGATTGACAATTGAATTCT